AATGCGGAATGGTCTTTTTTTTAATAAAATTATGCCTGCTTTTGTATTCCATACGTGTCATCCCGCCATCAAAATTATTATAGATTTTTCCTTTTTATATTCTTTCCCTGTCCTTAAAATTCGCTACTTTCTTTCCCTTCTTTTATTTATAATATTTTACGATTTTAACCATAACATCATATAATAATATATCAGCATAGTTTAGTGCATTATATGTGCAATATGTGAAATACATAACACTGAGAAATGAGCATAGAGGAAGAGAGGAAATATTTATGAGAGAATTTGCAGTATAAATTTTCTTTTTATTGTATATTCATCTATTGAGTCGGAGATGGAGGTGGATGGAACATTGACTAGACATAGATGTACATATAAGTGTACATAAAATGTGCAAAATGAACAATTCTCTAGGGGAGAGACGAGAAAACAATAATAATAAAAGTTGGCAGAAATGAAACAATTTTAAGAAGATTAATGCTGGAATGTAAAGATTTTATTATTGTAAAGTTTCAATTCATTCGTACTACAACAAATTGCATAATCAAGGACTCTTGAAAAAATGTTGAGTGAATGGGGTCGTTCATTAATGACGTCAATGAAAAATTGAATTTTCAGACCCACTCCCTCAATATTTTTTTGAATTGACATGCTCACCCCTTTTTAACTGATAGACATCATTAGTGAATGACTCCTTAAGAGTCTACTCAAAACAAACAATAGACATAAAATACTGTCACCGTCATAAAATATTCTACAAAGGGGTTAGAGGTGAAAGTGAGGGAACTTTTATTACCATATTGAACCAATAGTTTTTATTAAATTTTTAATGAAATTAGAAAATATCTTGAATCATCTAGAATTCGCAATAAATGAATCGCATATTGAAGAATTTGAACTTAAACAAGAAATTTTATAAACAAAAATCCCTTAACGATATTTCCTGGAATCGGAGAACAGACGACTGTTGCAAAAAAGTGCTGTTACATCATCATTGTATTTATAATAATACATCAATGTATACACATGTGTTGTATAATGAATAACTCTTTTTTTTCATCCATTCATTCATTTATTTTTTAAAGTCGCCAGTTTTCTTTTCAAATCTACAAACATCGAAGTAACGTCAATGGCGCAGATTTCATTCAGTTATTCCGAGAACTTTAACTCTTTGATGAGAATAAAAACAAAGTAATGGCATTGAATTTCATGTTATGTCTTACTAGGAAGTGATAAAAATGGAAAGGCAAAGGAAATAGGGTCACAATATGTGGCAACATTATTTCTCAGTTAAGCGGCATAGCTGTTGATTAATATTATTGTTAGGAATCAATGTAATTAATGAGATTTTCATGACTCTGTTATAAGGGGCATATCCAGGGGAGTCATATTGGCTACCTCGACAAGAAGTTTTCTAGAATGTTCAAGGATAAATAGCCCCAGCCTCCTCCCTTTAGTAATTAGTCTGTTTTATCGAAAGATAATAAAAATAAATTTCATACTGTGCGGTTTTTCAAGGGCATTGATATTGCGACTTAGTAAAGCAATTCAGAATATGTGATAAGGCAAGTTCATTGTTAGTAGGGCAATAGATTATTTACGTCTTGATATTTATTTCCTGTGTAATTTGAAATAGAATCAAACCTCAAAAAAAAATCATGAACATCCTCATAAATCTTCCATTCATTCCCGATTTATCAAAAATTGCTCTCTATTATTCATATCTATAGGCTTGCCACGAACTCACAAAAAAAAATTGTTTCTTTTTTCCGTATCATTAATGTCAAATGCTTGTATTTTATCAACCGAAAAGGTGATGATGTGTTTCCAATTTTGAACAATTGATTAAATAAAATACACGAATTCCATGTATCACATCTTAATTGTTTCTCGTAAGAAGGCTACAAGATACAAAGTACAAACTTGACAAAAAAAATAAATTTGACTCTACTGACACAATTTCTAGTATTTTTGTAGATATCACTTTTAACTAGCTAGCTTATGATACATGTAATGTGAACTGCGCTATTTGATATTTAAACAATAACAGTATTTCAACTGTCAAACTTAAGAGTACAGTGTAGCTATAAATACTCACGAAAATAAATAACTATAAAGTTCAAATCACATTTAATCAGGGGTGTAGGTAAGGGGGCTAGTCTTTCATTGTTCAAAAACTAGGAACAAATTGAGGGTCCTAGCTAGACCCTTTTCCAAAACGAAACACTCATATCTATTTATTGATGTATCAATAATTTTCAAAGTGATATTGAGGTCATTTACAATTTTGTAAATATTTACACACGAAACATGTGTGAATCTTCAAATTAGAAAATATAATTTTGATGAAAATTCTTCGATCCATAGTTCATGTAGTATATAGAATATCTTGTTTGTTTTGATACCTGACACTAATTGGAGGGAAAGTGTCTAATTTAGTCAAATGAAAATATCACTTGCCAGCTAATCATCTCTTAAAGCATAGACATTTTAAAATTGCATCATTAAAATGCCCCTCATTGCAATCAAAACTTTTTCCATCAATGTCCTTTCTCTTTTTCCATGGCCATAATATGAAAAAGTTCAGTAACATTAGAACTAATGTAAATAATTTTACCCAAAAAAACTATATATACATATGTATGACAGAGATGGAAATAACATCCAAATGCATAGTTGATTTTATAGCCGAGACGCGCATACAACTGCACGAAAAAAAAAAGAAGTAAAATCATGCTCAGCATCGTCGTGTTACTGCGTTGAAAAAAAAATCTTCAGCTCACTCACTCACCCATTCGTACACTTGTGTGTGCCCGAAAAAAAATTTTTTCCGCATAGCAACAGCGAAAGAAGACGAACCAAAAATATTGAAGAGAACGAAGAGAAAAAAAAAACCGGCAGAAAAAAAACTCACATGAATTTTATGTGAATGAAATATTTAAAGAGAAAAAAAAGAAGAAATAATGTACGGCGGCGATTCTACTTAAGAAATCTTTTTTCTTCTCTTCTTCTTTTTCGTGTTTTTTTTTTTTGTGAATGCTGCAACGGCTATTTAAACTTGTACAATACTTTATGATACTGCTGCTTATCGTTTGCCTTTATAGAAGCTATGACTGTCTCTCTGTGTATTAGTGTAACATTCAACTGAATCAATTTTTGATTCCCATCCAACGGCCGTTCTTTGTTCAATTAGCAATGTTGTTGTCATTAAGAACTTCTTTATGCTTCATTTCATTAAGTTCGGGATTAACATTAAAGAATATTCAATTGCCAAAAAAATTAAATTGGGATTATGAAGTAATTCACCTCCTGTGAATGAATATGGTGCAAGTGAATGAGTCCAATGCGGAATGTCGGCATTAAATGTTTTTTTTTTGCATATTCATATTACATAAAAGTCTTCCCAGAATCGCAAACGATCGTTATTCTGGTTCTTTTGCTTCCCATTTCGTGCTTGTGTTCTGAATGATTCGCAGAAAAACAAGAAGACTCGTCACTGACTCATTCAATTAAGAATGTTTTTTTGAGAATTATGAGAATTTCCTCTCACACTAGCTGACTTGTTTAGTGTGGAATTTTTGAGTGGAAAGAAAAGTAACAAAAATTTTTTATGTCACATGACAAGTCGTAGAATTCATTTTTATGACGAAAAGAAGAGATGCTGCGGATATTTAAGGTATATAGAAACTAAATACGAGAGGGGGGACAGAAAAAAATATTGATTTATCTAGTTCAGCTGTCAGACATCATTTTCTATTCCATTCACTTCACAATGACTGCACTGATGAGGTAAATCAATAGCGTAAAATACTTTAATAGGATATGTATTGAGGCAATGTGATGTCAATGTCCGCAAAGTAAAGGAAAACATAAAATGGAATTACACATTTGTTTGCTGTAAATTTTTACATCCAAAAAAAAAAATAGAATCACATAAATTTTCGATATGTTTAAGTCAAATGTTTTATTTATGAGCACAACATTCCTATTCCGGTTACAGAAAAATCGAATTAGTGATTCAGGAATCGTAACTAATTTTTCTATTTGTGTTCAAAAAAAAAAATCCCTCAGATATAGATTAGATATGATGACAATATGTGTGTAATTTTTATGGGCTACTTTCCCTCTTACTTCTTCACTTTCTTTCCATTGTCTTCCCTTATTTTTCATCTTCGCATTTCTTTCTATGGCGTCAACATGGTAGAAAATCGGTCATGCCAATTGCCTTTATTTTCAAGGCTAATAAAAATCAAACCTTAAAACTTTCTATCTGTATCAATTGACTGTTAATTTATATCTGTAGGAAAAATTATGTAATGCGTAGCTATAAATTCTCTTGACAATAATATATCAGTGATTCTCCTGTGGAATTAGAAATGCGATAAGCAGGAGTGGAACTTGTAACTTAACATGATTTGGAAGTCAGGCAATTTGCAATATTCTGGGTACGCACATTTATTTATCACTTCCTACGAACAATTCATTGACCTCGAAAAAATTGTTTATAGCACAGTGGCCATCCATCATCATGAAAAATTCACGGAAATATTTGCAAATATTTTAAATAAAATTTCCACCTTCTAGATTTATTTCTATTATAATTCTCTCATTCAAGCAACAAAAAAGAAACTTCAAACAAGCGCCAATATTTATCGCAAAAATACGATTGAAATTACTCTCTGATCTCTAAAGTAATTTCCAATGCGATTCATGTCAAGGACCAAACATGCATAAATTTCTTTTCTTTCATTGTGAAGAAAAATTTTCAAGGGGGAAATTAAGAATTCTTCTTGCTTTTCCTTCGCATGTAACTTGAAGAGAGAAGAAAATGAATTCGAAAATTGCATCATCGTACATAGAACTTAGGTGTTATCTAAAAATAAAAAAAAAATTGTACATATACACGCGCGTGCATACACATTTGAGAATTATATTTTTCCTCCTATTTCATTTCCAACTAATTGTTACTCATTCGCATTTTCTTTCTATTTTTATTACAGAAGAGGAAATTGATGTAGAGACGATCATCGAAAAGAATCTTCCAACAAATCCCAGTGCTCGTGATCGTCGTGCATTACAGACGACAGTTGCTCATAAAATAGCAAGAAGTAAGCATGCAGCAAATCAAAGACGACGCGTTTCAGACGATGACTCAATTTCGTCATCAACATCGACATTATCAAGTAAGGGATCAACGCCGATTAAATATGGATCATCAACACCTCAACGTTATGTAAGTAGTCATATGATAACATCAGGTCATAGCATATCGAGAAAGCGTCAAGCAGGACATAGTAAAGATAGTAACAATAATGTCCATGATAATCAAAAGAGATATCGTACTGGATACAATAAGAAGCAAAAAATGAGTAGCAGAAATAAGCAGATTGACCAAGAAGAATTAGAAACAATTGAAAAGCGTAACCTTCATAACAATATGGAGCGTCAGCGTCGTATTGGCCTCAAGAATCTCTTCGAACAGCTTAAATGTCATATACCAGCATTGAAAGATAAAGAGCGTGCACCAAAAGTAAATATATTGCGTGAGGCGGCTACATACTGTACCAAATTGAGACGTGATGAGGATACATATGCTGAATTATTAAAGAAGCATAATCGCTTATTGACACGTGTGAGAAATTTAAAAGCATCAATAGCGGCACAACAGAGACGACATTACTAAACTATTACTGCTTAAATAGAAAATACCTTATTAACTACCTTAATATTATTATTGATAGTAAATGCATGCATTCATTCAATTTATTAAGTATACAACAAGATGACGATGGTTATACAAAAAAAAAATCAAGAATTGATTTCGGTACACACATACACACACAAATAATAATAATTATATATATGTGGGTAATTTATGAATTTTTTTTTTATGTTTTAAAACAACTGAAACCAGAGAAAAAATTTTATATTATTATTATTTGATAACCGATAAGTGTGAAATTATGCGGGTAGTAAAAAAGCATGAAATGTCTTTTTTATAAAAAAAAAATCCAAAAATTTCGTTATAACAAAATAAAAAAAAAATCTATGGAAGACTACTTAAAAAGGAAGTTTCTAAAAGAATGGAAAAATTTTGCTACTAAGTAGTAATCCATATCAGATATGAGTGTACATTTGTGATGGATAATTTATTTTTAATATAAGGAGGAAAAAAATTAAATGATTTTTTTAAGGGGATCGCGGGATGTAAAAAAATGATTTTTTTGTGTCACTAAAAAAATTGACTTTATTTTATAATTAATGCTGATGATGTTTATGTTAAGGATAATGATAATCCAACAGCATATTCATTGAGACTCACAAGTGTACAGTCATTTTGTTTTTCTTTTTTAATTACTTTACTTTTTAAACTTTTTTTTTATGTACAGAATTCTAATTTCCCTCAAATCCAATTTAATTTTGTAAATTTAGTAACTTTTGGGGAAGTGAGAATTGACGAAGAAATTTTTTTGGTAAAAAAATTTGAGAACGAAAAGAAAATCTCGAATGAAGCAAAGAAAAGAAAAAAGAAAAAAATTTAAATTTTAAAAACTGTTTTAATTTGAATGCACAGTAAATAGCAAATAATTGAAACACACAGAGATCTCGACTTATTGTTTAAGGACATTTTTTTTATTAATTAATTTTTACTAATTTAAATTTGCATCTCTTTTTATCGATACCGGATGATAAGATGTTGTGTGGATGAAAGTAATATTGCATATAAAAAAAAATTGATAATTGATATAAGAAGATATAAAGGAATATATTTTTTCATTACTTTACTATTAAATATATATACAGATATACATATATGAGCTAAGGAAGCTTTATATCATAAGGACATAGCTGCTAAAAAAATAATTTTTTTTTGAGAGAAAACTAGTTTTTTATTAGAGCGGTAAAATTGCTATCTTTGTAGAAATATCTATAAAGCTCCCATGTAATCAGCTAGTAGACAATGGGAGCTCATCGCAAATAAAAATCAATGCTTTACATACTAGAATGATATGAATTCATTATAATACAATTTAAACTAAAAGAAATTCTTGTACATATTTTAATAACAATTCTTAATAAACAAAAAAAATGAAAATGAGGATTTAGATGGATTTTTTTTCGATTAGATATGTAAAAATCAAAAAATTGATAATTTAGACTTGATAATAACTTGACTTTTGTTTGTAAAAATGGGGAGAGAATGAATTCTTTTTATTATTAACATAGTTCTGCGTTTACAGAGTTGGCAATTTGGAGTTTAGAGGCTGAATTTTGGACAAGTGTGAAACAGTTAAGCATTCTGACTTCAATGACTGACGAACGCCTCAAAAGCTTTGAGAGAATTTGAGTGAATGAGCAGGGAATTTCAAATTTACCCCACCAAAACTACAGTTATAATCCCTAAACCTAGAAAAAGGGATTTACTCTCTAAAATAAACACAGAAAAAGTATTGTTCAGGATTGACAAATTTAATTCCATTTCACCTGCGAATTTCACTAAATTTCTCTCATTTAAAATCCAAATTTCAGCCTCTTAAATTCCAGCACTTGACCAACTCTAGACGGAAATTTTTTTAAATAAAAATTTCATTTTATTAGAATTGTAAGAAAATTCATGATGCGCTTTTAGCTTTTAGATAGTCCCGACAATGTTTTTATTATTATTATTATTTCTTTTTAATAATATAACATTTAAAATTGAATATATTTCTTTGTTATGACTACACATATAGACCTATTTACAGCAACAAACTTTCTTTGATTTATTATAATTTTTAAAAAATTGATTTCTTGCTGTTTTCTGGTTCGAGAAATTGAATTGAAAATTGGACTGGTCCATGAGCAATTCATCTTCTCGATCTTCTTTCCTTTCCTTCACTCCATGACTAGAGAGCGAGATAATTTCGAGGCTTATACAACGACAATGCATATAAATAGAGAATATGTAGGAATTAATTTCTATTGACTATGACCTCATACCACTTAAAATTTTTTTTTTATTTCCTTTACTTTTAAAAAATACAAAACAATGCGCTTGTAATTGATTAAGACAAAATTAATTTTAGGAAAATAATCATAAAATTAAATTAAGGAAATATTTCGCTCTCTACGAATGAAAATAAATGGAATGAAGATAAAATCTGAAGATTTTGAATAATTTTTTGTAGGAGGGTGCGAGATGTGCTTAAGGATTAGGTAAAAGTTCTAATGCATTAGAAATTTAGTGAATAAAAACAAATTCAAATAGACTTCATGCTACTCAAAATCTCATTCAAAATTGACTCTACCTCTTAGAATTATACACATACAATACATTGAACGATAGTACTAAATTATATTATAAATTATTATAACTACAGAAATTATGAAGTACTAAACAGACTTGAAAGTGCTCGAACTTTTAATTAATCATAAAACTTTGTCTACACCCACAGCAAAAATTCTCAAAATTCTCTTCAAAAACTTATGTTCCTCTTTACCTCCTTCTAATTCTTTGTTTGTACATAAAAAACATTTCATTTTGTACAATTTTCATCTTTTTTTCTATTCTTATAGATTTTTTTATAAGAGATGTATAAAAGAATGATATTTGCATTAAAATATATATCATAACATGGTGTTAACCTGGTTAAATATTATACAGTGCGTCAGCAATTGCTTACGCGAGTTCGTTTATTTCTATAAAAAAAAAGTAAATTGAATATATTCCTCAGTTAAAATGACAAAAGCAGACATTTAGCGCATTTTTGCATCAGCTTATGATTACACAAACTTTTCTGCTGTTTGTCGAAACAATTTTAAAAATTTTTATAATTAAGTTTTTTGAATCCAAATTTAAATAATTGCTTGAAATTTAAAAATGTTATTAAAAAAATTAATTTTTGGCAGCATTTAACTAGCAAAAATGCGCTGCAATTTCTAACAATACATTTTCTTCTCTATTTGATTGAAAAAATTTTTTATTCCTATCACTAATTTTCGAAGAAATAAAAAAATAAAATACATGTGCCAACGAAATGTGTAAATAGTCGATTTATATTGTGTATATTATTATTTTTTATATGTTATAACAATCATACATATTGCAGAATAATATAAACTTTTTTTTGTGAATGAATTGAAAAAAAAAATCCAAATTTTTATACACAGATTTTTATATACATTTTTTTTATATTTTTAATGTTTTTTTTATTTCAACTTTTTTTTGTTGGTTGTTAATTGATTTTTTTTTTATTTTGGAATTTTTTCTTAAATTTGATTTTTTTTAAAAAAAAAATACTTCCAAATGTTGTTTCATAAAGCATATAGAAATGGTGATTGCTTCCAATTTCATAATGTACACATTTCAAATTTTTATTCTGAGAAAAAGTTTATTACTTTTTGTCGTTGGTGGTCAAGCAAGATTCGACTGTGCGGTCTTACAATGAGATCTGGTATTGACTTAATGTCGAATTTTGCAGATGATACCAGATTTTTGTTGGAAAAGAAACACCGAGTTGTTGTACTAGATTATTTGTAAAAATCTAGTACTTATTGTATCACAATTTGTACTTCTAAATTAGAATCTAGGAGATTTTAAAATAATCAAGTGCATAAATCTAGTACTATGATGAAATTCACTTTAAATCTAGTACATAAAATTAACAATCTACTAAAATAAGACTAGATTCTTAGTAAGATTAACAATGTCTAGTACAGCTCGGTCATAATTTTATTGAGTGGAAGAAATTTTAAAAAATACAGAAAAGCTTTAAAAGGATTTATCTTTAAATTATGAGAGAAAAAAAAATTCTTTATTTTATCATAATTAAGTGAAAAAAATCTATAATGTGTACATAAAGTATCATAACAATTCATTGACATTTATGCTCTGGTAAAATTTCTGCATTGAAAAATGAATTTAAAATAATTAAAAATTCATCAAATTGAGCGAGAAAATTTGCCTTTTTTGAAACGAATCCAAGGTCAGAACGCTTTTTTGTTAGATTTTAGGAGTTTATTTTTTAATGAAATTAGATTTAGATATAATGATAATTCTTGGATCATTCGAGGAGGTTCAAAATCTTGCCAATTTGATGAACTTTATGAGAAAACTAATAATTTTGATGGAAAAAACAAAACTTAAAAGATTTTTTTATTATTCTTTACTGGAAGAAAAATTTATAAAAATAATTATATGATAAAGTTACATAAATAGTTACACAATAACACTAAAAAAGATATCGAGTTATGACCTAAGATGTAGTGGATGAGTAATTCTAGTACGTTAACGTGTTCTACAAATTCTATGTTAGGAAATTTAGTGATAATTTAACACTATATTTGTAAAGTTTAAGATGAAAGTACTAAAAAAATTGCTGTCCTAGACTTAATCATCTGCTACATCCTTAAGTCGGTGATCGACAAGAATTTTTTATACACATTAAACACATGTTTTAAGGGTTTTTTGTCCTATAAATAATAATTAAATGAATAATTAACATAAATACACACAAAACACACGATTCATAGACACACATACACACGTGCTGAATATAGTGACTAGCATTTAGAAGTGAGAGAAAAACGTGCACTGGAAGTGTTAAAAAAATATTAAAATGAAGTTAAAATTTGTATGAAATGAAATCCAGATGCATGGCAAACAAGGTCCTTTTTATTAATCATTAAGCTTTTTATTATTATTATTTTTATTATTATTATTATGTTTATAATAATTATGATTATATTTACAATGAAGAAAAACATTTTTTCGATTATTATTAATTTTTAATAAAGTTTTTATACTTATACATTAAAAAATCATAAAAAAAGTAAACAACAATTTTTTTTCAATTTTTTCAAACTTTATCTCTTGGCTTTCAAAG